TTTCAAACAGAAAAAGCAGCTTTCCCATCCCAAACAGGCTTATTGTGAATCAACAAATTCCCAGTGTGGTTGCAAAAGTGTCATTTGTTTCTGTATACAATAAGATTTTGTAACATCAGTAGTGATAACCAACATAACTCATCCCTCTCATTCCTGAGCCATTTTGTATACTGTATATAAAATTACAAAATACATATATATTTTCTGAAGGAACTAAGAGAATATGACTCAAGTGGGGGCACACTCACATCATCTTTTTTTTTTTAATGTTAAGACTTTTTTTTAATCACAAGGCAAGGCTGTTGATGAAAGGTTTTTCAGCACACAGAGCAGTTCTAGATGGATTTATTAAAAACTGAGGTTTCCCAGAGCAAGGGTCATTTCTAGGAGGTATTTGTATGTTGACTCGACTGTTTCTAATAGCTACACTAAATCTATTGCAGCTCCATCAGCTTCACTTAATTTGGGATTAGAGAGGTGACCCATCCCAACGGTGCCGGCAAAATGACATCTAACTAATTATAATTATGGGCCACAGACAAGCCAGTTGTGGTGGTATTACTGAAATAAGAACTTAATCCAATAAAACCAATGTATTTCCTAACACTAGCCTATAAAATGTGCATGTTTTTACTGGATTGTCAATATTTATTACATTGTAACACTGTTCCCCTTCCATCCTTACAGACTGTTTTTGCTCTGCTAGGTCAACATATGTTTACAATTTACTCCTCGGATGCTGTACAAATATATGGCCTAGATTTCCTCCTCCTGCAGACAATTCCCACCATGGTACCAAGCCTATTCCACTGTTCAATTCCACTAATCCTGTTTGTTTGTTTGTTTGTTTGTTTTAAGTTTGTACTTGGACAAATTTGAGAACTACTCTAAAACTACCAACGCTTCCCCCCAATGCTGGTGTTTGGATTACCAAACACTTTCCCCTAAAGACTAGAGGAACAGGAGGTAGTGCTCTGAGAGTGTTAATGGTGTCATTGCCCACCAGTGGCATGCATTATTCTCTAATAGCTGGCAACATTTTGAACTGAGCAGCCTTTGAATTGAATTAGAGGGGAGGGGGAAATCATGTTAATTTAATTTAGTACTGATGGGACAGAACCTCAACAGCTGAGATTACACATTAGCATATAGTTAAACATGCTGCATGTCACATTCAAGTAAGGAAAGGGCTTCTGCTATTTTCCTGTACATTTTTATGGTAGCATCCTTTCTCCTTTTTGCATCCAACAAAAGCCGCTTGCTGTTATCGTCAAAACAGCACGAATATTCTGGAACCTACTTGCAATTCTTACTTCTTTACCTGGAATCTTCACTCTTCTTCGTATCACTGCTTCCACTAATGGCTGTTTTCTTATGATGCTTCCTACAGCCTGTTCTCCATTGCTGAAACTTCTACAGCTTACTTCTCTCATTACAAATGATTTGCAAAGCTCTTACATATAATAACCCACCCTCATTCCCCAAGTGTGCTTCCTTATAAAATCAAATGACAGATGAGCAAAACAACAGGCTAATGAGGACTGCATGTTCTCAATGGCCACAGGACTCTGAGGACTTTTTCTCACAGCAAAATTAAAGTGCTGTCCACCCTTGAACAAGCAGAAATCTATACCAGCATAAAATTTGTGGTCCCCACTGGTGGTCCCTGTTCTGCCACTGGCATGTGTTTCTGGCCTTAGGATATGTTAAGGACAGGAACTGGTAGATTCCCTAGCTTTGCTTTCCTTTACTCTCACAAAACACCACCAGACAGTGGAAGACATTAATCAGCTACTTGACTTAACATAAGCTCAGACTGGAGGGAAGGCAAGTTTTGACAAATAGCTAAGCCACTGGGTTTAGTGATCTGTCAAAATTCATCCTGGTTCTGCACAATGTTTTGCAAAGGTGCATTCAAAGGGAGGCCAACCAACAGCTGATGTTAACTAACAGTCAGAGTCCTTTGGGACACAGGAGAGGAATAACATCTGCAGGCATGGGGTGGTTTGCACCATGAAACCACAGAATGAGATCTCTCGTTCTCTCATCTGCTTCACCATGTAGACTTTCCAGCACCACTACCAATCAGCTACTGTTCAGGCTAATTTAGATCTCTAAACTGAGGATCACTTCAGAGATCCAGCATGTACAAGGAGCTAGCTGGTTTGAAAGAACTACACTGTCTTGCTGCCTAGAGCAGAATGGCCCTAAAAATCTATGTCTAGGAACTGAAGGGGGATGAGCATGCCTGCACCAGCATAAAGTGGCCAATAGGTACCAGGCTGATATCATTCCTGAAGGGACATCTGCCTATGATATTGATAGAATGGTTGGTGAAAATGCATCAGATTATATCCACAATCACTACAAAACCAGTGTTGTGATCAGGAGAAAAAACATTACTTTAACATCTGTAGGATTAAGGACAACTGAAGAGTGCCTCAGGTAATGGACTTGGGTCCAGATGAAGGCAATATCAGGGAACACAGCAGAAAGAAAAGGTTGCCCGGACATGTTTTGGCAATGTTAGATACAAGTAAGGCAAAACTGAATCTCTGTGAGACGGTGGGAGGATGGATAGGATGGGATGTCATGTAAGAGGGCACAGCTAGCTAGCTAGCTGGCTGAAAACCTCAACAACAGCATGCTTCCCACTCTCAGAGGAAACTCAATCTGCCTTAAAATATGAGCACATCCATGAGAGCATAACAAAGAGAGAAAGAAAAAAGAAACAACCTCTAGGCTCAGGGGGGGAAAATATACCTCTAATCAACACAGTGGTCATTGTTTTCATATACTGTACTTCCTGTCATCCAGGTATATGAAGATAATTCCTTATCAGTTGAAATCTAGGGAAAATCCTCTTCTGCTTATGAAACTGTCACAAAATGTGATGGAAAGCAACCCAAATTGACCTATCAATAGCTATAAACTGTGCTGAGTGGGAAAGGATAGCAGCATGTTCCCAGTTCTCCATGTGTTCCCCACCTCAAACAACTCCACTCTGGTTTCCCAAATGCTCATGTTCCATTAACAATATAAGCCTTTTGCTCTTTTAGTTATAGAAATATAAAGACAAGTATGCAGGCGATGAATATTTTTCCCAACTGTCAACTAAGAAATGAACCTACTTCTAACTAATTCTCCATACTTCAGGGTAACTATAGGTATGTAGTTCTGAATACCACTTCACCAAATGTACCAAATCGTAGCACTGGAAAAGTTGCAGAAAAATATAATCAAAGTTATTAGGAATTCCAGAAACTTCCACACAAGACAAGTTTAGATATTTGGGTCTTTCTTATCTAGGAAAAGATTAGTCAAAAGAGCAGGTTAAGGGCACATAGTATGCATGATATGGATAATTTTATTCTTCCACAGTATTTGAAGTCAGGGTCATCCAATGAAACTAAGTGGTAGGATATTCATACCAGTCCAAAGTGCAAACTTCAGTTGTATAATTCACTTCACTGGGCAACATAAGATTGGCTAATAAGTCCCTCCATAATTGGAAAGTAAACTACATCCTCAGGGAAAATCCAATACTAGGTACCCCCCTCATCTCAACTTTTTCCAATGATGGGAAATTTGGCCTTGGAAAAGACAATGCATCGATTTGTCATGTGGAGGAACGCTGGGTCCAGAGATCATTAGCCCTTCCCACTGTTCCCTACATACATATATATATTAAATATTCTGGGTCTTTCCCATTACTGAATTGAGGTGTTTTCTGACCATCCTTGAGTCTGCAGTACACACACACACACTAGCATGAAGTGTCCTATTCCCATAACTAATTCCTATCTTGCCTCATTTGACTCTGTTACCAATCACTGCAGTCATCTGATCTTCCTCCATAGCACTGAGTAGCAAATATTAACAGATTTTTTTTATATCTTGAGGTTAGTTTTGGATAGTATCAGATTAAGAGGAAACAACACTATTTTAACCCTCGTACAGTTAAGGGTTAAGGCTTAAGGCTGTCTCACTCATGGACCAGGGATGAGATGAAGACAATCACATGGGAATAGGGCAGGAAAAAAGAGGTTGTTGGGGCATGCTTAAGCCAGTATTAGATACAAGTGGGGAAAGACTCCCTATCTGGTAAAATATTTAGATGAATTTGTTTATTAATTGGTGGAATGTTAATCAAAATAACAGCTTTTGGCAGGATAAGTCCTTTTAATGAAGAGCTTAGTCTGACAATCTACTCCAGTGTTTCTCAACCTTGGGAACTTTAAGACATGTGGACTTCAACTCCCAGAATTCCCCAGCCAGCCATTCTGGGAGTTGAAGTCCACACGTCTTAAAGTTCCCAAGGTTGAGAAACACTGGTCTACTGGCAGTAAATGTTGTCCCTCCATTCCCACAGAAATGCAAACTCCTTATTTGCAGATAGTCAACAACTATCTTTCTGGAACTGCTGCTCAGTTACCTGAATATGAATATGAACATACCTATATCATTACAAAAACAAAACAAAAAAACCCAGTTACTGTTTCCTTGTGCCTTGACACACATGCTTGGAGTTACACTTAAATAAAGACTGAACATCATAAATGATTTTTTTTTAATACTCCTATAACCTAATGGTCCTTTTACGAGAGGTTGGTAATATAATTTCCTCAACACAAAGCCTGACCAAATAGTGTGGTGTCATTTTATACAACCGCAAGAGAGGAGATACCTGGGCTGACAGTGCCTGTGGGTGAAGTGTAGATTTTATTACCCAATAGACACAGAAGAACTACCAAGCACGGTCAGTTTTTATTGCTTGTAAAATCAGCAATTGCAAAAGGTACAGTCTAATGTAAAAAAAAGACAAGGGAACAAAGTGTCAGTGCCTACGACAAGCAAGAAAGTTTTACTACACAACAAAAAGCAAATCTGCTGCAGATACACGAGCATACACAGATCACATAGGCCTGGCTGACTACTTGCAACTCAAGCAAGTTCAACCGCACTGAAGACAGCTTTGTTTTAGGGATCCGAAGAAGTAAGGTGCGGTCTTCTCTGGATGCAAACACATTAACTCTTTCCCCAGCAAGGTCTTGGTATCTCCCCTGAACAAAATGCAGGAAGAATAGAAGAGGTGATCTCCATGGGCACCATCCACACAACACAATTTTTTTATATATATAATTTTTATTCAACAACAATAAGAACTATTACAAACAAGAATAGAACGAAAAAGGAGAAAAAAAAAGAAAAAGCTAGAAGTGCAGAAAGAAAAAAAGTAGAAGAAAAATAGAAAGAAGAAAAAAGATAAAAAGAAAGATATAAAGTGGCTTCCAATCTTCTTCACAGCAGTTATGAAATACAGTTATATTTTAACTTCTCTCTCTAAAGTTACATCATGACTCTCTTCTTTCTATAATCTATCCTGTCTAATCAAGTGCAGAAAGAAAAAAAGTAGAAGAAAAATAGAAAGAAGAAAAAAGATAAAAAGAAAGATATAAAGTGGCTTCCAATCTTCTTCACAGCAGTTATGAAATACAGTTATATTTTAACTTCTCTCTCTAAAGTTACATCATGACTCTCTTCTTTCTATAATCTATCCTGTCTAATCATTAAAACCATAAATCATAAGTTCATTTTTTTCTTTTTTAGGCAGAAAGTCCATAATGGGTTTCCAGTCACCAATAAATGTAGATATTGCCTTTTCTCTAATCAAACAAGTCAATTTAGCCATTTCAGCAAGTTCTGTTATCTTCATCAACCATTCCTCCATTGTAGATACTGCCAAATCTTTCCATCTTTGCACATACAATAATCTTGCTGCAGTAATCATATATAAAAACAGTGTTCCATGGCTCTTTTCTAATGTTTAGCTATCAGTCCCAGGAGGAAAAGTTCTGGTTTGAATTGAACGTTAATCTTTAAAATCCTCTGAATCACTATATGTATTTGAGCCCAACATTTTCTAGCTTTTTTACACATCCACTAAGCATGATAAAGTGACCTTCTTGTTGTTCAAATTTCCAACATAAATTTGAAGTACCTTTATACTTTCTGGTTGATTTTTCTGGTATCATATACCAACAGTACATCATTTTATAAAAATTCTTCTTAAGATTATAACATAATGTAAATTTCAATCCTTTCAACCACATATTTTCCCACTGTTCCATTTGTATATTATAACCAAAGTTTTT